AACCCTAACCCTAACCCTAACCCTAAGCTATCGATTCGATTAAAACAATAATCGGACGAGCGTCGAAAGGAATTCGGAAGAGTGATTTGACGAAGATGATGGAATTCGTCTTATTAAACAACTTCTTTAAATGCCAAGATAAGATCTACCAACAACGCAGTGGTTTAGCTATAGGCGTCGCTTGCGCCCCGATTTTAGCAAACCTTTATTGCGGATTGTACGAAAAAGGTCGTTTTAAATATCGCAACAATAAGATTAAATTCTACGGTCGCTTTATTGACGACGTTTGTCTTATCTATAAAGGCACAGAAAACGAGCTGAACACCTGGTTAAGCGAATGGAAGCTACCAGGCTTAGATATTACGTAAGAATATTCTAAACATTCAGCTCACTTTCTGGACGTTGAGCTACTAATCGTAAAAGATCGATTGGTCACGAGAATCTACGAGAAAGCACTTAATCGTCATATGTATATTCCCTTTTCCAGTGCTCACCTTCTTGCAACCAAGAGAGCCTTCGTTAAGGCCGAGCGAGTGAGATACAATACAATTTGCACGCGACCTAAGGAAGCGAAAGCGTGCGAACGCAAATTGTATTTGAATCTTTTAAGACGAGGTTATCCTCAAAAGATGCTGAATGAATGGTTTAGCGAGACCCTTAAAGTGATCGAGCGGCCTATCCCTAAGCTAATACTCCCCTCCGAGTATAATCCAGTATAGGAATATATACGTATTAGTCCGCTGAAAGACATCTTACGAAAAATGTCTACCGAGGATTTCGATGATTTAGATAACATCGTAACCTCGCTAAAGCGGAGGAGAAGTCTATACGACTCTTTCAATCTCCATAATCTAACGCTATTAAATGCGTATGAGCCGAAAGAAAGAATATAATACTCGAAACGCCGTATTCTTAACGATTTCCTTTATTATTAAACTCCAGTTTAAGCCTTTGAAAAGAGGTACGAGAGCTGTCTACTCTTATTAAAAGCGAGGCGCGTTTGTATACTGCTTGAGTAACAAACGGCTCGACGCCCGTAGCGCTGAAAAGCGTTAGTGCGGTGACGTCAGTGACGAGTAGCGAAGGTAGTAATAACGCCTTCGCTAACTAATAAACGCCGGCCATATTATATTTTAATAGATTCCAATACGATTTATCGAGACAAGAATACAGGATAGGAACAAAAAAGGTTAAGGGGCTCTAAGAAAAAGTGAGAAGTTCAAACCTTTTCCCTACCTTAACCCTTAACCCTAAACCTAACTTAACCCTGACCTTAACCAGAACCCTAACCCGGACCTTGGTTTGAGCTTACCTTACTACACTAGTCAGCCTTGGAAACTTCACGTGGTCGTTGCTTACGGAGACTACCTTGAAAAGAGGGGACTTACGAGAAAGCGAAT